ACTGTATTTATAAATCTTTTTCTATTACACTTTGGCTGTGGATTTTTTTCATAAACTTAGATATTATTACATCTATTTCCATTTACATGAACAGTATTTCTCTCCACTCTTTTGTGCCATTGGCTTTAGTTTGCCACACCCTTTTTTAAGCCTAATTCAATTGTTCACACAGGAATTTAGATTTTTTTTCTAAAACTGTAATAAACTTCACTTTGCAACTGGGTTAAATGAGTCACCTGTTTTCCAGATCAGAGATGTCTGTCTGTAACTTCAGGTACCATTTTTCAGCCTGACAAAACAACTGACGCAGAAGCAACACGTTAGTGTAAGCTGTGTTGATGAGCTCTGATTCTACCTCACTGTGGACCACAACCTTCAGTCCATCCAACATCTCCCCAACTTCATCCACAGTGAAAGTGTCCTCAGTCAGTCTGGTAGATACAAAAAAAAATAAGACAGTTAGACTATCAAGTATTTCCAATTCATGAAACATGAACTGTCCTTTATGTTTCCCGTTAATAAAATTACTTTTCCATCATATTTTAGGTTTCTTTATTTGTTCATGGAATGAGGGCGTCGCTGACCAGGCAGCATTAATTGCCCATCCCTAATTGCCCAGATGGCAGCTGAGAGTCAACTACGTTGCTGTGGGTCTGGAATCACATGTAGGCCAGACCAGGTAAGGATGGCAGTTTCCTTCCCTAAAGGACATTAGAGAACCAGATCAGTTCATCGTTAGACTCTTAATTCCAGCTTTCTTTTTTGAATTCAATTTCCTCCATCTGCCATGGCAGGATTCGAATGCAGGTCCCCAGAACATTACCTGGGTCTCTGGGGTAACAGTCCAGCGTTAATACTACTAAGCCATTGCCACCCCATCATATTAGTGATGACAATTTTTTAAAATGACTGGGACAACACTCCTAAACATTTACCAACAACCAATTTTCAGATATCTGCCAGAAAATGTGTAGATGATGATTCCATTTGGATAATTTTGTATAATTAGATTGAACTTTAGAACTTGTTTGGAAAGGCAAACTGTAGATGTCAAGAAGAGGTTGTGCATTGAGGAAGACTCTAAAGCAGGAGCAGCACAAGGCTTACGTACACCCTTCATCAACATGGATGTAGACACCACAGAGGGCCTCTGATGGACATTGTTAGATTGTCACATGGTTAACGTACATCACAAGTGAGCAAAAGCAGCATTGGAGAAAGAGGAACAAAAAAAAAAGTTGCTGGACAAGCTCAGCAGGTCCACGAAAAACAAAGTTAACATTTCGGTTCCGGTGATATGAGGAAGGGTCTGTTCTGAGGAAGGCTCGCCGGACCCAAAACATTAACTGTTTTTTCCTTCACAGATGCTGCCAGACCAGCTGAGCTTTTGCACCAACTTTATTTTTGTTCCTGATCCACAGCATCCACAGTTCTTTCAGTTTTTATTGGAGAAAGAGGAACTAACTCCACTTATGTTGATGATGTGCATCAGGACCCTGAAGAAGTCCAAACATGTGCAAATGTCCTACTCAGCAGAAAGTTTAAGCTTCCGATTGCTGGCTTTGCTCTGCAAGATTCAATAATAGTGAGTCAAATGGCCAGAATCACAGACTTGGGCTGATTTTGCTATACTTAACCTAACTTTTACAAGGATTTAAATAGCTTTTTTCATAGCAGGTACAAAATCCATTAACACTAAATAAATCAGCTGGTGTTTCGAACCACTTCAGCACCAAAGCAATGCTCACCCTCTCCCCTCCCAACCCCAATCACTCTCAGACACCAGAGACAATGTCACACATAGGCACTAACAAACACCACCCCACCCTCTTTCCCCTCACCATGCCCAATGTCACAGATGGTGTTCAGCTTCAGAACTGTGGACAACTTGCAACCCTCGTACCACAGACAGCACTCATACTGACAGCATAGTGGAGTGAGTGCTGTCTGTAGTATGAGGCAATGAACACCATCCACCCCCACACCCAACAGGAAAATGAAACAGGGGGTGAACACTGTCTGTGACAGAGCCAAGAGACCACGATCGGTGAAGGTAAGCGAGTGGGAGAACTCATCGAGATGAGGGAGTAGAAAGCACTGTCAGGTATCATGGATGGGTAGAAAACTGATGGGTGGAGATGAAAGAGAACAATATTTGTTGAGGTGAGACAGTGGTGGGCGGGGGGGAGGTAGTGGGAAGAACATTGTTTGTGGTAAGGGAGGGGTGGAACACGGTTGAGGTGGGTGAGGGAGGGTTAGCACTAACCAGGAAGATAAGTTTGTGTAGTTTGCGGTTGACAGGTCCATTTAGAACAAAGCAAGTTAGTGAAATGAAGAAAAACCTTAAGGTGTACATCTTCAGTTCATGATGAGAAATAGGGGCACAGCTGTCCAGGAATTAAGTTGACTACTTGGTTGTCCGACAACCTTCATCTCCACTGGAGTCAGCATCGGAAGGTACAAATATGGTAAATGGGAAGATTAAATTAAACCTAAACCCTTCAACACTGATCAGAAGATCTCGGCCAAGGATGCAAAGTTCCCAACTGGGAGGAGCAGACATTCTAAATTCTGCTTAGCTGGTTACAGATGTTAAGCCTCAGTGATCACCCACAAGGAATCCACAATTCTGGGGCAGCAACAGAAAATACGTGAGACTTTGACAGTACTTCTGGAAACATCACATGCCCTTGAAGAGAAAGCGGAGTAGTCTATTTCCAGCACAAGTGCCATGATGTGTCAGCCCCTCACATATTGTCCACCTACCTGGAGTATTAAATATGGCAAGCAGCTAAGTGCATGCTGGTTCTCACTAATGGCCTGCACCTTTGGTCTGCAAATAGGTTGGAGTAAAGCCTCATGATGGCCTTTCAGCACCACAAAACAATCTCCAGCTCTTGGCTAGCCAGAGCGTGTGTTTAAGTGAGGAAAGAGAGAATGATGCAAGGGCACAAAGATGCAGGCACTTTGCTCATTTCTCACCTCTTGTCCACTACACCCCAGAGTAAATCATGCTGTGGCCTCCCTGATGACTGAATCTGTTTCAACAAAAATGCAGGTGGTCTAGACTTCAGCAGGGTCCTTTATGTTGGATCCCAAAATATAGAGAGGACTTTCACCAGGGGCATCACAGCAGAGCAAGAAATGAGCAACCGCCTTCAGCACTGCTGAAGCTGTAGGAATACATTAAAAAGAAGTAATAGGAAGAAAATAGGCCTTTTACATTGCACAAAAAGACTCACTTAGAGATTCTTAGAATACCAATGTTATAATGAAAGCAAAATACTGAAGATTCAAAACAAAAGCAAAGTGCTGGAGAAATTCATCGAGTCTGTCAACATCTATAGAAAGAGAAACTGAGTTAACATTTTAGGTCCAATGACTCTTCTTTCAAACTGTTTGACATTACAACATTAATGACAAAGTCAGTTAATGCTTCTGACATGCAAATGTATCATGCAACGTTAGTTCAAGTCTATTGTCCAGCAATTTACAATATTCTATTTTGTCTTCCAAGTGGGCATTATTCCTGATGCAAATAATATGACCAGTTTAAAATGAGCAAAAGTTGTGAACAAGACAGAGAAACTTTTAACAGAGTGATGCTCCATTTGGGGTTGTGCCAGCCTTGCTGCACCCTAAACGTGTACACTCAGGTTCTATGAACCATGCAGAGGTGTGTCCTTTAAAAGCTTCTCTGGGAGCTAGGTGAACAACTTCAGCCCCGACTACGATCAGGCTTCACCTGCTCAAAGGATGCAGTGCAGTCCTCTCCTTCTTCCCCCTGCAACTTTATTCCTCTGTAATGCCAAGTTGTGAAAGACACAGCACATCACTGGCCATTATTGATACCCAAGCAGCTGATACATACTAATAGACATCTTCAGATCTGTGCAGAAAACTTCAGTAACGCAATGGTTTGCTTAATGAGTGCTTTTGTTCTCTTGTTGCTAAAAATTGAGTTTCCTCAGCATCACCACTAGAACTTCCTCATTAGTGTCACAATTGATGCCTTTAGGGGTTAGCCTGGTCTCCAAAGAGATATCACTAACTCAGGTTGAGAGTATAATTACCTGTGGGAGATTTACTGATGCACACGCAGCACAAGCTCTGTGAGCAAAGGCCTCTCTCACAAAAGGTAAGGAAACAGTCATGCCATTTCAGTCTTTTTTAAGTTATTTCTCTTTCCACAGATGCTGCCAGAACTGCCAGGTTTTTCCAACACTTTCTGGTTTTACTTCAGATCCCCAGAATTCACTAAATTTTGCTTCTTTTTTCAAAAAAAAGGAAAGAGTTATGCTGTTTCAATCTTTAAAGACTTTCCTGTCTGTCAAATGGAAAGAGATATCAGTCCTGTTTGATGATTTTCGCAAGCTTCACACAGCTCAGGGCACGTAAAGAATCTGTTAAAGCTAGAAAGAAGATAAGACAAAAACAAGGGGATACAGAATGTTTAAGCAAGTGTGCAAGGTATTGCAAATGGACTATAATATCATAAAATATGAATTTGTTCATTTGAGCAGGAAAAATAAAAAAGGTATATCATCTAAATGGTGACAGATTACAGAACTTCGAGATGCAGAAGTACGTGGTGTCCCAATACACGAACTGGAGAAAGTTAGAATGCAGGGACAAAAAGTAATTAGGAAAGCTAATACAATATTATTGTTTATTGCAAGTGGAATTGAATACACAAGTATGGAAGTTATGCTTCAATTATACAGACATTGATGAGACCACATTTCTTATTGGACTCCCACACAAGTACATTGGAAGCAATTGAGAGAATGTTGACTAGACTAAGATCTGGAATGAGTGGGTTGGCTTGTTAGGAAAGGTTGTACAGATTCAGTTTGTATTTGCTGGAGTTTTTAAAAAAAGACAAAAAAAAAGGTAACTTGGTTGAAACATAAGATCCTGAGGGATATTGACAGGGTGGATGCGGAAAAGACATTTCCACATGTGGGAGATTTAGAACTAGGAGTCACTGTTTAAAAATGGAGAGTCACTTGTTTAAGAAAGATAGGAGGAGAAATATTTTCTTATAGAAGTCTGACAATCTTTGGAACACTCTTCCTCGAAAGGTAGAGGAAGCAGAATCTTTGAGCATTTTTTAAAGCAGAGGTAGATAGATTCTTGCTAAGCAAAAGATTACCATGGAAATGTGGAATAATCAAATTAGTCTTGCTTATTGAGTAGTGAAGTTCAAGGTGTTGAAGCGCCTACTCCTACTTCCAGCTCATAAGAAAGTAGGGTGGCACAGTGGCTCAGTGGTTAGCAATGCTGTCTCACAGCTCCAGGGACCTGGGTTCAATGCCACCCTCGGGTGACAGTGCAAACTCCACGCCAACATTCTCCCAGTGTCTGCATGGGTTTCTGCCGAGTGCTCCAGTGTCCTCCCACAGAAATGTGTAGGTTTGTGGACTGGCCATGCTAAATTGACAAGTGTCCAGGGGTGTGCAAGCTAGGTGGATTAGCCATTGGAAATGCAAGGTTACATGGATGGAGTGGGGGAGGGGGGGTAGGTTTCAGTGGGTCGCTCTTCAGAGGGTTGGTGTGGTCTTGATGGGCTGAATGGCCTGCATCCACACTGTAGGGATTCTATAATTCTATGAAAGTGGTATTAAATTTACAAGTAACTGGCTCTTACCTTCATTTGGAATGGCAGACCCACAAAGATTTACAATCTGCCCATTTACAATGATATGCAGTAAAAGATGCAAGAGAATGGGATGAGGTCTGTTTTGCAATGTGCCCAATACTTCTTGCGGATTTAGTCTTTTGCCTACACCATAACCTGACCACCTGATGCATGTCAAAATTCTGGCATTCTGACTCAAAATGTTAACTCAGTTTCTCTTTCCACCTGCTGAATTACTCCAGCATTTTCTACGTTTGTTTCAGATTTGCAGCATTCTCAGTATTTTGCTTCCATTAAAATTCCACCCATGATGTCTGACTGAAATAGGTTAAAAGATGCTATGTATTCCAATATGGTCATTAAAGAGGAGCAATTCAAAATCTCTCTTGGGTGCTAGATAATTGCAAATGATTCTAAACATATTGGTGAACAACATAAAAGTACTCATCAAAGAGTATAGATTGGGGATTTCAACCACAAGGTTAAAAAGAAAGAGGAAAATAGAAAACAATGCAAAAGAAAATATTCTCCTAAAGCTGATGTTAAGATACTGTAGTCAGCTGCAAGAGGTTTCACTTTGCTATGCTACATAATGAGAGAGAAAATTGATGCCTACATCAGGTGACCATCCATAAAATGATGTCCATGATCTTGATCCCCACAAAAGATCAAAATCATGCTGTATATATCAACTCCAAGTGTTACAACTTTCAAAACACCAACACGATGATTAATATTTCGCATCTGCAGACTCAGAGTCAGTAAGCTAATCAGCGATTAAACATAATGTCATATCAGCAATTCACTAATGCTTCTTAACAGCAGACAAGAGCGATATTCACCTACTGTCCTTTAGATCCTCAAAACAAGAATCAACAGTTTTCAGCCTTAGTGCCCTTTTCGAACGAGCAAAGCGCATGTAGTTGATTACTGCATTCTGATGGTGTTCATTCAACCCCAGTTCAGCCTGCAAAAAAAATTCAGAAATTCAAATAACTTTCTACATAAGCAATTCAAATAGCCAATATTCATCAACTTCTTGTTTCAATGTGAAAACTATAAACAGGGTTAGAATTATTAGAAATCATGATCAATTTGCCCACCTGATAGTTTTTCTTTGGCTTTATTAATGTTTAGTCAGGAATCCCCATGACAGGATTGTGAATAATCATTTTCAAGAGTATAAACTGATTAAATAAATCAATCAATCAATCAATATCACATGTACCAAACTACAGTGAAAAGCTTTGTTTACGAGCAGTACAGGCAGATCATAGTAAGCAAAGGATGTATAAACAAAAAGACTTAGACAGGAGGCATACAGGTTACATGGCACAGGGCACGTGCTACGCAAGATCAACATTAGTGTTATTTGAGGCTAAAGGGTCCATTCATCAGTCTGATAACAACCGGAAGAAGCTGTTCCTGAACCTGCTCATGCGTGTTCAGGCTTCTGAATCTTCTGCCTGATGGAAGAGGTTGTAGGAGATCATTACCAGGGTGTGATGGGTCTTTGATGATGCTGGCAGCCTTTCCACAGCAGCAAGCCGTGTAAATGGAGTCCGTGGATAAACATTTGCTTCCATAATTGTCTGGGCTGCGCACACCACCTTCTGTAGTTTCTTACAATCCTGGCAGAGCAGTTGCCATACCTGGCCGTTATGCACCCGGACAGTAAACTTTCAATGCTGCATCTGTAGAAGTTGGTGAGGAACTTTATGGACATGCCAAATTTCCTGAGCTGCCTGAGGAAGAAGAGGCACTGTTGTGCCTTCTTGACTGTCGGAAGTCCAGGACAGTTTGTTGGTTATCGTCACTCTGAGGAATTTGGACGTTCTTCACTCTCTCAACCTCAGTCCTGTTGATATAGATGGGGGCGTGTTCTCCTCCTTTCTTTCTGAAGCCAAAGATTGGTTCTTTAGTTTTGCTGACATTGAGAGACAGATTGTTTTCATTGCATCACATCACATCCCTTCTGTGGTTTGACTCGTCATTGTTAGATATCTGTCCCTCTACGGTAGTGTCATCAGCAAACTTGTAGATGGTGTTCATTCAGAATTTGGCAACACAGTCGTAGGTGTAAAGGGAGCACTGTAGGTGGTTGAGGATGCATCCTTGGGGGTCTCCAGTGTTTAGTGTTATTGTGGAGGAGGTGCAGTTACCTATCCTCACTGATTGCAGTCTGTGGGTCAGAAAGCTGAGGATCCAGCTGCACAGGGCAGAGCCAAGACCAAGGCCATGGAGTTGAGATCAGTTTGGAGGGGATAATGCTGTTGAAGGCGGACAGTAGTCAATGAGCAGGAGTTTGACGTAGGTGTCTTTGATGTTCAGATGTTCCGATGTTCCAGGGATGAGTGCAGGGCTTGGGATGTGGCATCCTTTGTGGACCTGTTGTGTCGGTAGGCAAATTGTAGGGGATCGAGGCGGGTTGGGAGACTGGAGTTGATGTGGGCCAAAACCAGCCTCTCAAAGAATTTCGTGATTATTGAGGTCAGAGGCACTGGGTGGTAGTCATTAAGGCACATTGCATGTGCTTTTTTAGGTATGGGGACGATGGTGGTCTTCCTGAAGGAGGTGGGGACTTCGGCTTGTAGGAGGGAGAGGTTGAACATGTCGGTGAATACCTTCATCAGTTGGTCCGCACAGGATCTGAGTGCTCGGCTGGGGACACCGTCCAGGCCTGTTGCTTTCTTTGGGTTGACTCCCAGGAAGACTGATCTGACTTCTGAGGCGGTGACACAGATGGAACAGATGGACAAATCAGATTCTAGACCGAAACATGGTTTAATAGATCATATTTTGCTTTGTTTTGTTTTTATTCACTGAAATACAAGCAGCAACGCTACAGATTTTGTATTAATAATAAATCAAAAGTGTAGTACGAGAACAAAATGAAGATGAAATAGAATAAACCAAGCTGTTTACACAGGATAATTTGAAAGATTCCAATATTCATCTATCCGAACACCATTGAGTACCTCATAGTACTCAAATACTAGAGAGTGTTCCCTTCTCTATTACATCTGTAATTTTAACTTATGTTTATTTTAATTCCTGGTCTTGAGAGTCTGATAACCTTTTCCTTCTTTATTCACATAATTGAGCTAAGGCTTTCTCAGCCTCAAATAACATCTTCAGGGTTCAAACCAAGCATTTCTGGTCTGGAGTTTTCAAACTGAAACTCTTATATTGAGGTAACCTATTTTCTAGGTGTTCGAAACTAACTCCTTCCTTCACAAGAAACTGTTCTTACATCTAACTGCAACCAATTGTTGTGTGAACTGAAATCAAAGGCTTTGCAATCCATAGGTTCTTCCCTGAAGGGAAAAACAAAATCAATCAATTCCTGATTCTTCTAAACCAAAAGAAAGCTAATGCTTTTGAATGTTTACTCTGACCAATTGCAAAACTCTCACAATGCAAACAACTTCCCCATTATCACTCCAGGAGCTCTTTCCCTCTCATACTATTTTTTAAAAAGTCATGACCTCAGAAAGACTGACAGTTTAATTATTAAAACCCCTCACACAAACAAACCAAAACGCATATACGATTAGAACAAAATCCAAAATTCTAAAATTATATAAATCACACATCTTAAATCACACTAACAGCAGAAATGGTAAAAACAGACTCTAAGGTTTGTAACTGGCTGATTTTATTTTTGAAAAATGGAAGACCAGTGGTTATAGACTTTTCAACCTTTCAACATTTCTCTCTTTAACTTAAGTCACAAAACTGAGCACAGGAAATTCATTAGAATTTCATTAGTGCCAACAGCCAAGTCTGAATATGACTGACATTTATTAGCATTGATCATGCAACACCATGAGCCATTCGAATAGTCCCAATACAATCTCAGGTAAGACTACCTAAACTGTTACAGCATAGATCAAACCAGCTCAGTATTGCACCATAAGGTGTAATTATTATGATATCATAAAGAAATCAATACATTCCTACATTATTAATCTCATTGTTATGCCAAGTTATTTGAATATTGTTAATCAATGCTTGACGGGAAGACAAAATGATCACATTCTTTGTCTATCTATACAGGTCTCTCTCTCTCTCCCTTTAATCTCTTATTACTGTTAACTGAACAAGCTCTACCAACATTTGTTACAACTTTTGTGAAATGAAACAAATCCATGCTTCAAATTTCATTTTCCAACTTGCAAAACAGATCTGCATCATCAAATTTTACCTGACATTGATTTTTAATCCATTGTCTCAACTTGTCTAGATCCTTCAGAATTTCATGAACCTCTGAAATGATCATTGTTTAAAAACATTGTTTAGTGTAACAGCCAAATTTTATGTCAGTATATAATAGACAAACTCTCCTCTGGATGGGCCATGAAAGTGAAAAGCAGAAAACCAGAATCTACTTCGACGATCAGCAATGCTTACTTCTGTCCACCACCAGTGTTTTACATTGCTTCTTTCCATCGTGGAAAATTTTCAATCCTCTTCCCAACTTTGTTAATTCCACATATCTGAATTATTTTCTAAAAGGCTCAAATACATCACTTTACTGAAAGCTTTCCAAAAATACAAATAAATTACAGCCATGGGACAGCTTACAAGTGAATTAAAAATGGCTCGAACTACACAGCATGAAAAACATTGAAAAGATAGTGTATGTATCATTTCATTTGATGACTTTGTGTCAGTAAGTGAAAAGAACACAAGAACAACTTTTTTATTAGGTAGAATTAAACATATTTAAAGAAGGTTATCAGTAAGAGCATATAAGGACTAACCACTGCTACAAAAAGAGATATATCCCAGATTTAAGAGTTCATCAACATTTTTTGACAGATTGAAAAAGGTCAAATGAATCATACAAAATGCGACGATCACCTCAAAGGCTGTAAAAGCATAATAAGGGGAAAAAACAGGCTTGTAAAACAGATAAGAGAAGAACAAATTGGAACAAGAATGAGATTAAAAAAAGGTTCAGATAATCTAAAATACCTAAAGCTTCAAATGACAGTGCTATAGCATGACCATGAGAGAAGACGGATATTGACCCAGAATTTTCTAGAGTAGGGTACCGAGAGTTTAACCCTTCTCCCCCTCAACTTTCAGTGCCAAATAATTTTACGATGCAAACTGTTGGAAGTGAGCGCTGATAGTGAATGTCAAGTAATCCAGCCTAACCAAATGAAATGTAAGAATTGACAAAGAAACAAAGTAATCAAAAGAGAAGGAAACAAGTTAAAAGAGAGTCAAGCTACATACAGAGAGGGAAATAGTGAAAAAATTGACTAAAAGAGGGGAAAAAAAAAAGAGAAAAAATTAAATGTAGAAGTCTCCAGCAACAACTTTTCATCTGCTGGAGTAAACTCCCACAGTCTAAATGTTTTTTATTCATTCTTTACAATATGAGCATCAGTAGCAAGGCTCCCCAGTTGTTCATGACCAATTGATGTCAAGGCCATGTAAGAAGGCAGATGCTGCTTGGCCTGCTGTGTTCATCCAGCCCTGCACCTTGTTGTCTCTAAAAGACAATCATGTTGGGTGGGTCTGCACTCATAAGTAGTCCGGAATGGGTAACAATAGCAGATTTCTTCACCTGAGGACCTTAGCAAACCTTTCATTTATTCCATTTCTGGGTCTCTGAGGTTGAATAACATTCCAACAAAATTAAAAGGCTCCTTAGATCTTAAAATTGCAGTCTTAACATTCTGCAACAAATTTAATTCTGATTAATGATGCAAAGCAACAATCTATGATTAACTTGTGACAATTCACAACTCAACACATCTCTTCCTTGCCACAAATTGTTGGTCATCTTTTTAAAAAACACACCAACAGAGTGCTGCCTCAATTAGAGTGAAATTTCAGCTCAACTTAAACGGAGAACATAGATGCTCAAAAATATGCAGCAAAAATCCACTCTCTGTTGTACGGTCTTTTGATGTTAAATTTCCCATGTATCTGGGTCCAATACAGAAGCACCAAATTCACACCAAAGGTCAGAATTTTGCAGGCCTGTCTGAAGCTTATATAAGGCCAGGCAGAAACTTAAAAGGAGTGTGAGGCCAATGTCAGTTTTCCAATGACTCATTAAGCATTTACTATTAAGTTCTCAGAGTCTTCATGCAGGTGTTCATGTTGAAGCCTCTCCATAATCTCAAGAGAAGCCAACTTGATGGGAAAAATTTACAATGTTATGAAAGAAGACTCAATGAGCCCACTAACTTGTCCGAATGAGACACCGCTGACATCGGTAAAACTGACCAGACCATGCAATCGAGTCTCAATTTAAAAAGAGTGAGTAGCTTAAACGGGAGATTAACTAATAGGGAGATCAATGTAAGAGGGGGATTAACAGAAAAGGTGGCCATTTGTGGGCTAGGTGGACAGGAAAGATAGGTAATGGAACTTAAAAGGGTGTGATTATTGCAAGCATTAGTGGGCTTCTGAGGGAGCAAACACGGATAAGGAGGGAACTGTAACAATCACAGGTAAGAGGTCCCAAGGGTGGGAATGGGAGATTTAAGGGCAGTGAGCACAACGAGGTACATACGGCGTACATAGGAGGAAGAAAAAGCAATGGAACAGAATGAGGGGAGATAAAAGGACAAGGCCAAGGGAATCTCAACAGGATTGGGATCAGGGAAAGAACAGGAATATCTAGGAGATTGTGAAAGGGCTAGTAGTGTCAGGCCTGTCTGACTTGTCTTACCACTGTGCTGGCTTCCTTAGTAACCTCAACATCAGCATTTGCTCCATCAGCATCTCTGTCAGACATCCCTTCTTCCTCATTTGAGGAGACAGATGATTTCAACTGCCCCTCTTCTAAGTTCTCACCACAATATTGAGCTAGGTTGTGCACGGTGCAACAAATTGTCATCATTCTGGAAACCCTGTCCGGCGAGTCCTGGAGTTCTTCTGGTCTAGGCAATGGAAGTGCGTCATAAATAGAATCAATGTTCAACATTAGTCACTATTCTGGATATCCTGATAGCTATATTTAATCACAATTTACTTTACTTGAACATTTATGAACACACAGACGTAATACCCAGTGTGAGTTTATTATGTTGAAACTTTATGTTCCTCTGCTCGAAATACATTCTTTGTTCCATTTGTACCAGTAAACTCCTATTCAGGTTGATGGTCAGGGCATCAGGCTGGAGTTCTGTGGGTTTACATGGACCATGTAACACATAGACTTTTGTTTGTTATGGACATTCATCTATCACAGGTTAACTTATGCACGCAAGACAACTGCACAGCTTATGTTCCCAATTCCCATGGGAGAACTGTGCGTGACAGCATCAGCACCCTTTGCAACCAACCACCTGATGAGCATGCAAGCATCTAGTGTGATCACTACTGAAAGTAGCCTAGAAAGGAATGCGTAACTGTTAGAGGTATAACCAGACTGCACAAGAGCAAAGAATTTTGTAAACATATGCTGCATTTATTCACATGCAACACTTTCCAAAATGGTGATACAATGCACCCAATTTCCATTAATCTTTCACATCCTACCACAATGTCTGGGTGCTCCCATGGCAGTCACAGCTAAACTGGAAAACTCTTGCTGACTTAGTTGCCCCCTTGCCACAGATGGCTTGATGGTCATCCTCTGGTAGCTCTGGGCCTGGACAGTAGGTATAATCTCTTTGGCCTGAACAGATGAAGGTGTTTGGGATCATGGCAGAGTGGAGTAGGTGAGCACTTCTGGCGTATCCTGAAAGGCCAATTACTAGGCAACAGGGTAGAGAAATAAAGAATTCAAGCAATCGGGGCATTTTGTATTTATGCATACAATTCATGCACATCCAAAAATTCTGTAATATTTTAGTCTGTACATTTGATTTGGATGCCTAGTCTGGTTGCAAATATCCAAGAAATTCCAGTCTCAATATTAAGTGTTTTGCACAGAGAATAACTTTGTGGTGGCACAAAACATTCTTAGGGTTAAATAGATCAAAAGATTAAGGAAAGAAAGCAAGAACAAGACACTGAGTTGGATGATCAGAATGATCATACTGAATAGCAGAACAGACTCGAAGGGCCAAATGGCCTACTCCTCCACCTATTTTCTATGCTTCTGAATGCGCTGTTACTTATCCAAACATTTTTAGTAAATGAACAACTACTTTTCTGCTACCATTATTATTGATTTGTATCTGGCTTTTCAATTCCTAAAATATTTTTCTAGTGATGTAGGAGTCACTGGCAGCAATGCCAGCATTTGGCATTTACGAGTCAACTGCATTGCTGCAAGTCTGGAATCATAGGTAGGTTAGGCCAGACTGAGTATGGATGACAGACTTCCTTCCCTAAACGACATTATGAATCAGCTGGTAGCTTCTTTTAAAAAAATGCGAAGATAGTTTCATATCATCATAACCGAGGCATGCTTTCAATTTCAATATAATTATTAGAAATGATATTCATAAGAAATATGGCCCCATTCTGCCTCTTGAACCTGCTCATTCAATAAAAACATTACTGATTGGACAAGGAAGTGTAGATGAGATAGACAATCTCCACATCCCTTAATTGACAGTATTCAAATCTTCAGTCTCAGCCCTGAAATACTCAATGACTCAGCGTATCTTCCACCTTTCAGGCCAGCATTCCAAATATTTACCATCCCAAGTGAAGAAATTCTTCCACCACATTGGGGTCTAAAATAATCACAAATGCTTAACATATATCTTTGTCAAACACTGCACAATATTCCTCAGGCCCCACTGACATTAAAACTTTCAACATCTGCTGCATTGTTTTTCCCCAAATCCACACATTGCTAATTTAAAAAAATACATATAATTTGCCATCCTCTGAACTTGCTGAACTCTGTCATCAAACCAGCTGACAAGAATGCTACTGCTTTTGTCTGGTGAACTGACCACGACGTTGCACAGGCCAAATGCCAACTCTCTGACTCTTTCTTCTGCCTTCTCCTGTACCATGGTCTCACTGGCGAACATCAAAACATCATCTCCAGTTCAGTCAGTGACCCCATCTCCTCTGGAGATCTTTTTTCCACAGCCCCAACTTCATGGTCTCCCAAACCCGAAAATCTGCTTTAGGCCTAATGTTGCAATTTCCACGTTGCTTTTGCACTAATTTTTCTGTCCTCAGCATCCTGCGTTTTTAAATGAAGCTCAGTGTAAGCTTAAGGAATGACACCATATCCCTCATTTAGGCATGACTCAACACTGAGGAGGAGGAGGAGGAGGAGTGAAGACG